GACTGAAAATAAAATAGAATTATGGTTTGAATATAAAATTAAATGTAAAGCTTCGCTAATAATAATAAAAATTTACTAATTAATTTTTTTGATTGATTTGATTGGTTAATTATCATGGGAAATTACGGGTAGATCTACCAATCATACGAATGTTGTCTTATGAGCTCGGGCCCGGGTCGGGTTTAAGCGGAAATTACGGGTAGATCTACCAATCATACGAATGTCGTCCTATGAGCTCGGGCCCGGGTCGGGTTTAAGCGGGCCTGGGTCGGGCTCAAGCAAACCCGACCTGACCCGTCCCGTTACACACCCTAGGTCTGCGGTTACTTTTTGATAGGCACAGATTATATCCTAAATTGAGGTGTGTTCTTGATGCACTATATTCTTATAAAATTTAATTTTTTAAAAAATTTCAGCAAAAATATCTCGATAACTACTAAAATAAATTCAATAAATTATTTTTTATTTTGATTCTATAGGTCTATAGAAACAAAATTAAAAAAAATTCATCGAATTTGGTTAGGTGGTTTCTAGCTTATAAAAATTTGGCTATAGCTATAAATATTTTAATATTTTGAAGATATCTTAGCAATCATCTATACAAATTTGACAAATTTTTTTCATTTTGATTTTACAGAGCTAATATTTTTGCTTAAATTTTAAAATTTTAGGACGATTTTAATACTCATTGGAGTAAAGTAGTACTGTATAGCAGTATAGACGTACAAAATCCTATACTTCATATGTATAGTTAATATATTAGACACTTTCGTCAATTAATAATTGACATGAATTTAAATTTTATACTGATTAAAATGTAACGTACAGTATATACATCAAATCTAAAGTATGTTTAATAAAAGTATTTTAATTTAAAGAACTTTTTAAAAAAATTTTTATTGATTTTTTGTTATTTTCTTTGCAAAATGGCTTCAAATACTTTATTAGTTATTCATTTTTTTTGTTTCAAGCCTTTGAAAAAATTGTTGACAGCCATGTGAATGTGAATGAAATAAATGTAAGTATAATTGATTATTCAAAATATGATTATTGTTTAAAATTGGAGTTATTGAAGAGTTGAATATTCAGTTGGATAAACATAACTATGGTTATTTTATTAAAGATTTTATGAAACATGGTAGCTCACAAAATTCAACTAATAAAACTCTTCGAAATATCATGAAACATCTAATAAGAAATTAGTTAAAATACAAAAAATAATGAAAATTACTGTAATATGAAATAAAACCCTTATAAAAACTATTTTTTCATACTTTCTAATGTAGTTATATACGTAAATTCTTAATCAACAAAAATTTGAAAATAGCATTTAACAAATACAGAATTAAAAAAGTAACTTTGATTTAAAAATTTTTCTTTTACAAACTATATGTACTATCATAATTTCTATACGTCTAATTTGTATTTCTATACTGTACTATATACTTTACTATATATTCAAAAACGTACTAAATAAATAAAATTAAGTAAAAATGGTCAGGACTCCTGAAAACCTCATAAGAACTGAAATATCAAATCTACATTATGTTATATAAACCTCCTCCTTTATCTTAAAACTGCACCCTAACCCTTAGGCTGGCGAATTTTACCTCTGGTTAATATAGTTATTTTAATTTAACATATAGGCCGATTTGAGTAATTTATAAGTAGAGCTTATTTTTTAAAAAAACTTTAAAGCTAAATAACTTTTGATTCACTGTCTGTTTTAAATAATTTTACTACAGTGTGTGACACCTAAAGACTAAAATACAAAATTTGCTACTATTTGTCCCATTTAAAAAATTTTATATTAAAATTTGATATTTTGTTGATTTTCTGAATTTTGATTAGTTAAAAAAAATTTTTTCTATTGGCTAAAATTTTATTAATTAACAAATTTTTTAAAAATTAGCCAATAACCAAGAGCCAAAATATGTAACTTGTCCCAATTTTGTTAATTTTTTGATATATTGTATAAAAACATATAAAAATTAAGCATATTTAAATTGTTATAAATCAAAAATATATAATATTTATTTTTAAAATAAAGCTGTTAAGTTGTGGCAAATTAACATAGCTACAATTTAGCAGCTTCCTTTTTATTGTATCTTTTCTGTATCATGAGCTATTAGCTTTTAGAATTATTTTAGTCTTTAGATGAACTGTATACAGTATACGCAACCTGTCCCAGATTTCGAAATTACTCAACGTCAGCCAATCATATTTGAAGATTATCAGGTATAATAGATATAATAGCCAATGAAAAAGAACTTTCTGTATGCTTAAAATCCGCTTAGAAAAAAAATGTCAATCACACCATTAAAAGCGTTTACAGAACACGATAATGCTAGCCTTACTGATGACAAAAAAGAACAAAAATATGTCCACGATGTTTATCAAGCGATAGCACCACATTTTAGTCAAACTAGATATAAGGTTTGTGATTTTAAACCTAACCAAATTTATAACTTCGAAAGTATGTTTTTGATTTATTTCTGCGATTATTTTATTTTTGATAAGCCATGGCCGGTTATTGAACAATTTCTTAAGAGTTTGGACATAGGTAGCATAGGTGCAGATATAGGATGTGGGAATGGGAAATATTTAGGTGTTAATAAAAATGTATATATGGTTGGATCGGATCGGTATTAATTTTTAAATAACTACTTCAAATTTAAATATAAAATTTTTTACATATCTTTAATAATGCCTTCATTTTATTAATTTTATTAATTTTATTCATTACAGAAGTTCTAAGCTAATTGAAATAAGTGTATCTAGAGGACATGAAGGTATAATTTGCGATGCACTAAATTTACCATATCGAAGTGAATGTTTTGTATCCTTTTTACGATCGATCAACTGTTTAATCATACACCATTGAAATTTTTTCAAATCAATTTCTTTAATTCTCAATATAACCTGATCAAACAAATAAATAGGATTTTGTGATATCAATTGCTGTGATTCATCATTTCACAACATTTGAAAGAAGGCTTGCGGCAATTAAGGTTCGTTAAACCCAAACAAAAATTGACAAAGTCAAAATGTCAAACCATATATTATGTTAAAATAATATATTACATGTGAATTAGGAACTTTTCCGGATCGCAAGACCTAGATCATATGTTCTCATATATGTTTGGGCTTTGGAACAAAGCAACGAAGCGCGTCGTAAATTTGATAAAGAACAACAGGATGTGTTTGTTCCTTGGGTCATCCCAGCAGATAAGAACAATCAAGACAGAAAGGAAATTATTTATAATCGGTAAATATACATATTAATAATTTTAATATATTAAAAACAAAACTGCAATGCATGATATTGCACGCGTCATACATTATCTAATTCATTAATGTTTTCTGATTTTAGATATTATCATCTTTTTAGAAAGGGAGAATTAGATGAACTCATTGAAAGTACCGGAGTTGCCCAAATAGTCAAGACAGATTATGATAAAGATAATTGGTATGTCATTGCGAGGAAGAAAGGAGGTGAAAATGAAATCGATAAGAAATGATATGATTGCTAAATATGTATATTTATTTCATTATGTGAATAAAGAAATAAATATGAGCCTTTTTTTACAAAAAATATCTAACAAGTTAGATTAAAAGCTATAGAGAAATAAAAGAACAAATATTGAAATACTTACAGCGTATTTTACATAAATACCTTTGGAACAGCCAGGCAGATGATTTATTATGCAGCTATAATAATTAAATGGACTCACGTTTTTACAAGAAAAATTACATTGTTCAACTCATACTATTACTATCGTCTTTCATTACTATATTTGGGTCAATTTTGACTTTGCGTGCAAAAGTTTCATACCAATCCTGAAAAACCTTCGCTGATATAAACGCGTTTCCAGATCCAATTATTTGTGAACCAAAAGGGGTAGAAGACGTGGCGAATGATGTAGCATAATTGTATAGGTTCCGAAGAGTGTTTTGCGTTATTTGACTGATAAGTTCTGTTGTTATACCACCAGAACTACTAGTTTGTGGTTGATTAGATGTCTGAGGGAGTGTTGCAATTTGGGATTCTACCATTGCAATTGGTTCGATGGAAATTCCTACTGTTGCTGTTACAGAAGTAGTAGTCGATGATAAATCATTAACGTCCATTGACATGTCGTCCGCGCTAAAATTTGTAATCAATTTTGTGGTTGAACCAAAAGAGAATGCATTTGATGATGCTACATTTGTTGTTCCAGGAATGGCTGACCCACGAAGACGGAAAATCGCGCTTGGCTTTTCGTTGGAAAGCCTTAAATTGATGATGATTGTTATAAATATTTTAAATATATAATAATGCTACATTATGCTTTCAAAAAACCTACATGCCCAACAATTTCCAGCCATGCTCGCCTCCAGGCCACAAAAAATGTACAGTGGCTGCGTAGCCAGGCTCAAAAGGAACCGTACCGAGTAAAAATACTACAATGTGATTTATGGTTCCAGCGTCGGGGATTTCAAATACATATTTATTAACATCGACTTGTTGAAGGTTAGTTTGAATCTGTGAAAATTATAAAATTTTGAGTTAAAGAATATATTTGGTAGCTCGCAAAAAAGAATGGTTTTTTTGTGGGTTTAAAAGAATTTCTGTCGCAAGATTATTTCTAGTCGAATTTTACTAATTCTTAAACTACCATGTCATTGTATTAAATTCATTTTCATTTACTAACCAGTCTTCCTGCTACAATACAGCCAAACATATTTTTTTTATGCGAATTCTACAAAATAGTTGATTCTCGCGATCTATTTAATAGTTAACGGTTATACAGTGACTACCTTTTTAAAAGTTTATCATTTGTTATCTGTTACTATTATCGTTGTTGGGCAACACTGCAACAAAAACAAACCATATCAAGCTATTATGTAAGAGTAGGGGTCAAAATTTAGTGCTCAACTATAACAACCCTGATAATGTGATTGTAGAGCTTCGTAACTCTTGGCGAAGAATAAAATTTAACCAAATTGAATGTCATGTATGCGTAATTCTTTCCTAGGACGCGAAGAACGGCAGTGGCCTAAGCCATTAAAATAAAACTAGCGCTAGGGCTGTGAAATTACTACGTATAATTTTTTGTAATGTAGTCAACCTTTATAATAAGGTTGTACAAAAAAAATTATTAAAATTCTAGAACAGACCCGTTTCTCGTATCTAAAATTATATGATATATGTAAGCGACCTCTTGGTCTAATAAGAGTAGAGGGTAGGTATGCTGATCATTTTATATAATATTAGTGTTCCGGCAATATTTTTTTTATGAAATAAAGAAGGGGGTTCGGTGACCTCGGCATTTTTTATTTTAGCGCGATCGTGTAAATAAGTATTGGTTATTATTTATACCGTTATTTCTATTCTTTGGTACCACTACTACCAATTATTTGCTCAATCATTTCCTCGGCTAAAATAATATTTTTATCTTTATATTCTTGGTATTGAGGGTCTTTTCACTGTTCCGGAGAATAGCCTAATAAGCTTGCTCTTAAGGCCTCACTTTTGGGAATTTGGGCTTCATTTCATTTTATATGACTTCTTATAGCACCAACCTTTCACCCACGTCGGCGTCTCTCGTTTCTGAAATATATTACCCGATTTATAACCAGAATTTAAACCTTATTACAATTTTTGATGCAGAAAAAGTGGACCACATATATGAAAAACACTCCCTCTTATTTTCATATTAGGGAACAATCGATTTTGAACTTGATTAGTTATGTTAATGATATCGCGCCAAATAAGAGAAGCCTATAAGATTAATATGAACTATCTTAAACTGTTTCACAAAGATGTAATTCTTTATCGTTATTATTAAGCATTAATATATCTATAGTTAGATATCATTTCTTCAATTGGTCTCCACAAGATACGACGGAATCCAATAACCATGACGAATCCTTATAGCCTGATTTGATTATTTTAATTCGTTTATCGAATACCCCCAAAGCAGAATATTCAACCGCATGACCTTTTGCTATTGTATTCATGTATGATCTTAGTTTTAATAAAAGAGAATTACTAAAAAAACAAAAGAAATATATAAAAAAAAAACCCTAGAGCTAACAAAATTAAAAGCTATTTTTATTAAAAATTTTAATTAAATATAAATTTAGATTAAAACAAAGCAACTAACTCTCCATCTTACAAAAATTAAAGTTCATTCAGGTGATATTTTTAATAACTTGGCAGATCTCAAAGCCAAGAAAGGTGCATCTTTCACAGAGCTCCTAATTTCTACAGTACTAAACATAAGAGAATTCAAAATAAGTAAGAAGTTATAAAAAAGTCAATATGCTTTTTCATTAAAATGGTTGGTAAAGTTATAAATAAAGTGAAATGGACTTTTGTATATAATAATCAAAATGCAACACATCAAGAAAGAAAGACTTTTCAGTACTAGTCAATCTTCTACAAACTATTAAAAAGTGGAACTAAGTAGCAAAATTACACATACAAAACAAATTCAATATAGCTCTTTGAATTAAAGTGTATAAATAATGTTTTATCAGTTTTAGAAAAGTTTAATAGGAAATTAAACTTATATAGAACTGATAAATATATTATACAGTATATAAAAAGAAAACAGAAACTATAGAATATCTAATAAGCTGCAAAGTATCTTTAAATCTAGTATAAGATATAGAAAAACAAGAAGTTAAGTCAACTCTGAAAGAAATAGAAGAGTTACAAGACTTGTATAAAAAAAAAGAAAAAATCTTAGTTATAATAGGGAAAGGAAGTACAGATAAAGAGCTATGTAGAAGAGAAAAATAGATAAGAGGTCTAATTACAAAAGAGGACTTCAATGGAATTTAGCTTAGCTTCAACTTCAACAAACAAGCAAAAAATTTTATAGTAAGATTTTGAAAAAGATAGATAAAAAAAATTTATAAAGAGATATAAATCGCAAGATATAAACTAGTACAAGAGTGAGAGAAGAAAAATAGTATAATACAAAAAGAAAAAAGAGGAAGAACAAAAAAAAAAAAAAGATATTAAATGAAAGAAGAACCCAAGCAATAAGCTTTACAAAAGAAAAAAAGAAAAAAAGAAAACTAAAGCAAGATAAAAAATGGTTGTAAAATTAACTAAAAATGAAATATTAAGTTGGATAAAAGGTAGACAATGAGCAAAATAATAGAAAATTTAATCAGTAGTCTTGACAGGTTATAAAAACAATCTGAGGAGATACTAATAAATCTGTTTGCAAGATAAGTTAGTATAGAAGTAAATCTTACTATAGCAGGTTACATATAGATATTCTCTGAACAACCAAAGCTAATACTTGTAACTTAGATGTTAGATGAAATAGCTCTCTGAAAAATTAATATTTCAAAGTATAATATTATTAAACCTAATAAAGTAATAGCAAGACTGTCGAAATTTAAAAAAAAAATTAAATATAAATTTAATAATATATATAAACAAAAAAAAAAAACCAACAAAACAAAAATTAAAATATACTATTATAACTAGTATTGGCAAATAAAACAATAAAATAAAAGTTTAATTTTTTATTTTTATATAAAAAAATTTTTTTTATTAATAATTTGCAATTATTTAAATACATATTATTAAACTATTAGTAAAATAATAAATTTAAAATATTTTTAGATTTAATTAGTAAAATTTAATATTGAAAATTTACAATAAAAAAATAAAAAAAGTGAATAAAATTAGAAGCCAATAGAACAAATATAGTAAACATAACAACCCTAATTACTGTATAATCTGTAATAGGTTGGTAAAAATTATATAACAATTTAGTTATCTAAAATATATATGTAGCTTGATATACTCTTACTATAACTAAAATTAAAACTTTAATAAAATAGTTCTTTAATAATATTTGGCTTAAGATACAAATTAAGATAGCTCTAGTGAAAATAGTTATTTAGCTAGAAAGAAAAATTTTATATTAAGACAAAGCTTTACAGTAAAGATATATAGATATTATATTTATAATATAATTTTTATTAGCCATATATAGGCTATAATAGTACTTTTAAAGTTTTTATTTTCTTATATATTTTTTTTTTTTATAGTTAGTGTCTTTTTTTTTTAGTTGTTTTTATAAACACTATTTTTAAAATTTTTCTCTTTTGCTTATATTTTTTGAAAAAAAAAAGAATTAGAAGAGAAAAAAGAGATCTTAATATGATATACAACAACCTGTTAATGATTAAAAGAGTATCTATATAATACAAAATTTTTAGCAAGTTAGAAATCCTAAAAAAGATTAAATAATTGTTATAGCAAGTTATATTAGACAATTAATTTAAAAAGTTGAATCTTTTGCAATATAGGTTATACCTTTATTTTTTCTATAAATATAATAAATAAAAGTATCATGACTTAAATTACAATGCCTTTATTTGTCACACCTACTAGATTATAAAAAAACATTTATATATAATTAGTTAATTTTTGTAGATCTATCTGTAATCTCTTGTGATAATTCTATAATATTAGAAAATAAAAAAAGTTTTATATAAAGAAGCTTACAAACTAATAAATGTATATAAAAAAACTTATTATTACTATATTTTTCTAAAAATAAACTACTATTTTTGAGCCAAAAATTATACAAAAATTCCTAAAGTAGTTTATTTTGAAAACAAATTAATTTTTGATTATTTTTTATTAAGTAAAAGTAGTTATATATAAATAAGTTAAAATTATATTTAATGACATATACCACTGTGTTAGGTTTACCTCGAGGATAGTTAAGTGTCCTAAGGTAGGGTGCGAAATCCATATTGGGTGATACCAAAATCTAGTATATAAATAGTGAGGAAACCCATAGGGTTAGAGAGCTGATGGAGGTAGTTAGAACCAGATGGTTTAAATGGGTACCTCTCTAGTTGGGGTGCAGGTATGGCAGATAGTGTAGAACCTTCGGGCGAACTACTTAAATAAGCACTCAAAAGGTACACATGTGGCTTGATGTACCATCGTTGTAATTACATATAAAACTTCGTCTATACTCTAATAAAAAGTTCCCCAGACCAAAGAGGTCACCTTAATACCAAAAAAAAAAAAAAAAAATTAAAATTATATTTAATAAAAGTTGTTCAGAATAAAAAAATATACATATTTTGAAAATTTTATACAATTTGAATAACTTTTTATTAGTACATTTTTGCATGTAAAGTTTGAACTTAAAATATAAAAATATATTTATTCAAATTGTACAAAAATTTCAGAATATGTGTATTTTTATATTTTAAACAACTTTTTTTTTTTTTTAATACTTAAAGATTTTGAACAACTTTTATTAAGTACAAAACATATATTTACTTAGTATAATTTTGACTTTATATATAGCAACTGTTAAAAATTTTTTAAAAAATTCAAAGATAGCTTCTTTCAAGCTAAAAACATTTTTAAAATTTTTGCTTGAAAGAGGGTGTAGCTTATTTTAAGAAGTAGCTTATTTTGGGAAAAATACAATAATATATAAAAAATGGATAGATATATATAAATAGGCAAATAAGATGTTTATTACTAATAAACCCAAACTATTAAAGAATATACATATATATAGTATTATAAGTTGTGCTGGATATTATCTCTCATACTGATTTGGATTTATACCAAAACATACTTGGCAACTTCTTGTTTCTTAGCTTAACTTGTTAGTTAAGCTGTTTTTTAAAAAAACTAATGTTTTATTTAATTTAGCAATAGTTAAAATGTTAATACACTAAGGTGTGGTGGCTTAGTAAAATGGTCTAGTCGTCACCCTCTCCAAGCGGCAGGTCTAGAGTTCAAATCTCATAGATGACGATTTTGAAAAATAGATTTGTGTTTCGGTAACCTGTATAAAATGATTGGATTAGGGTATCTGTAACTTAAGTCACACCAGAGCATAGTATTCCTGGAAGATCCACTGGCGTTCGTACAACTGAGGAAACTCAGGGACTATGAAAGAATGCAAACCGGCTTAGGGCGGTGCAAACTCTCGATAAGTCCAAGATTGTGTAAATCTTAGAAATCTCTTTCGCGTACAGAAACCCATTTGGGAAGTCCCGAATTAAGATTAGTGGCTAACTTTTGACGGTACTACAGAGTAAAGACTATACTAGGAACTCAACTGGAGGCCCGGCGATCATGATCCTTATAGGCGGGGTTACACCAACCCGGCCATTAGAGGATGAGGGGACTCTACAGGCTAACTGGATTGGAAGAAGGGATGTTTCCGGAGCCGAACTCATGCGTCAGGAAATGTCGGTACTGGGGTTGGTTATGAACTTAATAAGGGCAGAAGTAAAGTAATGAAGGACT